GGCGGCCCGGGGGGAGGGCTCCTGCCTAGAGGGTGCCCCGCGGGGCCGGCCGCCGGGCTCCCAGCCGCGCCGCCGCCTCACGCGAGCGCGGGGCTCAGCCGCACCATGGCTCGGGCGCGCGGCTCGGGGGGCCGGGGACGCGCTCTGTCCCTGCTGCCGGGACCGAGCCCGGCCCCTGCTTCATCCAGCAGCCTGGGCCGGAGGGAGGAAAAATGATCTGGGCTGGGGTGGGAGAGGCTTGCAATGTCGGAGATTCAAGTCGAACCTGCTATGAAACTGCCTGATGCCGGGGTCCGATGCCGGGTCCCCGGTGTCCCCCCAGCCCTCGCCTGCTCTGCCTGGCGTGCAGCTAAGGGATGCTTCGGCTCTGCTCCTGTCGAGCCCGAGCGGCTCCGGGGAGGCGGCGGCGCTGCCCAGCCCGCGGACAGCTCTGCATCCGCAGCAGCATCCCGCAGCCCCGGGCGCGGGTTTAAATGCCAGCCGGGCAGGAAGCCGGCGCGCGGAGGAAGTCCCCGAGTACTGGCAAGGCCGGGCCGGCCCCACGGTCCCGGGGGCGAGACGCCGAGCAGGGCGCCGCCATGTTTGTGGGCAGGCGCCCCACTTGGGACCCGATGCTGGGAAGGATGCTGACCTAGTACGGCGGGAAAGCTCTGGCATTTCAGTCCCCGCCTCTGGGGGTTGATGTGGGAACAGCGCCCTCTCAGGGATGGCTGCGAAGACAGAGCGGACCCACTCACCAGTCTCCCTGCTTTGAAATCGCCTTCCCTTTAGTGACTGAGATCAATTCCCTGGGAACACGGGTGCTCTAGCCTTTGGGAATATTTTTCTTGAGGCATGAGAAGAAGAGTCCAATATCAGGTTACATAAAATAACCAAAACTGTCACTAGCTAAACTGTTTGCTAGGCTTAAAGTGAAGTCAAAACTGTTCTCATTCATTCATCCATCCAGTCATTCATTCCAACAAAACAAAACAAGCAAAATCCCCACAGCCAGTTTTATGGGGCAGACACAATTTTGGTGACTGTGGATACAAAGATGAGCACTATACAGACTCTCCCTTCCAGGAGCTCCAGTCAAGGCAGGCTTTAAATAGGAGGCATGAGCAGAGGGCGATGGGAGCACAGGGGAGGAGGCATTTCTTTTGTGTGGATAATTTGAGGAAGGCTTCACAGGTAGCAAGACAGTGGGCTGGGCCTTAAATGGTGAATCCGCAGAGAAGAAAGTAAGCCATTCCAGGCACAGTAAAGGGCATTTGCAAAGGCACGGGAAATCTGGAAGAACTTGGTGTGTCCAAGGCAAAGTAAACAGTTTGGCACAGCTGGAGTATAGGGTTCAGAAAGGTGGAAGGGAGGACCTATGCCACTGAAAGGCATGGGGACCCAGTAACAATGCTTTTCTAGTACTTATTATGTTAATTACTGTGGGGGGGAGGGGTCCGGGCTAAGCACCCAGCAAGTGTTTCATTTCACCTTCACAGCATTCTATGAGGCAGATCTGTATTATCTCCAGCATCACAACCAAGGAGAGTGGGCGGGAACACGGCCAGGCGTAGGCAAAAAGGGGTACATTGTGTGTAGAGAATTTAAACCAATAATCAACCAACTCAAAGTCTATCTGCTTTGTATTAGCACCGTTCTAAACAATGTCGTGTTAAAACACTCTTTCCTGCCAAGGCAGAGAGCTTCCACTGCCCTCCCTTCTGCAGATGAGGAAGCAGAGTAGGCTAATGGACCAGCGGGGACTGGTGCCCTAGGAGCAGTGTGGGGGAGGGACTGGAGGAGCAAAAGAAGCTGGAGGCCAAGAGACCGGTCAGGAAACTATTCAAAAATTTAAGAGACAGCAGCAAGAGGAGTGGAGAACAGGTTGGATTGAAGAGGTTTTCTTTATGGCATAGAATTGATAAATCATGGTAAGCAATAAAAGAGTAAATGAGGGTGAGTCAGAGTCTAGCACGATCTAAATTTTCTACTGTAGGGGGCAAGGTAGTTGGGGAAGCTCTTCCACTAATGAGGGGAGTAAGGAAGAGAGCAGATTTAGCAGATAAAGATCATGTGTTCAGTCTGAAATATGTTTCATTTGAAGTGCATGCGGGAGCTTCAAGGTGAGGAGTATGGTGAAGCTGCAGGGATTTCGGTGGGGATTATCAGAGGCGGGTGCTGAATAGAATCTCCTAAGTTACAGCTCAGATCTCCTGGCTCCCTCCTTGAACCGCAAAGCTTATCACTTCTTTCTGAGCTCGCTGAAGCCATGGTTGAGAAAACACTCAGATTAATATTTCAACCTTGGTGATAACCTTAGCACCAACATATGAGCCTAAGAGGTAATATTAAAAATATTTAACAACTTCCCAGTGGAGTGAGGCCTGAGGCCCCATGTTGTGTCAGGTGTTAAGCCAGTACTGTCTGGAGCTTGGGGAGGTCTGAGCCTGTCCAGGGGGAGAGGTCAGGATGGCCAGAGTGGCAGGAGGAAAACTGGAGGCCCCATTATGAAAATATTTCAATATTTCTATAACCAGTGCAGCTGTGCTATTGTGTACCACTTAACGTCAGCTCTGAATATCTAATTTGCACAGTGCCAATTGACACATCTACTCTGGTCTCAACCCTGAATGGTTGAAAATCTATCTTCTTTAAAAAGGAACTAAGTATTAATGCAGCATTTCTATGTAAAAGATGTGTAAGACCTTTATGTGAAAAATGGTAAAACTGTATGAAAAGACTTTAAAGAAGTTCTAAACAAATGGGAGAGACATACCACGTTCGATCATGAAAAGATTCCATGTCACAAAGATGTGAGTTCTTTACAACATAATTCAGTACTAGATAGATACAATTTAAATCAAAATCTGAACAGTGTTTTCCATGGAAATTAACAAGGTGATTCTAAAATGTATATAGAACAATGGTCCCAAAATAGCTAAGATATTCCAAGTGAAGAAGGAGAGGGAGAAAGAGGAGGAGGGGGAGAGAGGGAGAAGAAAACCACAGCAACAACAGCAGCAGCAACAACCAAGTGAAGGGAACTCGTCCTCGTGGTTGCTATTATAAAATTGCAGTGGTTAAGATAGTGTGTTTTTGACATAGAGATAGGCCAACAGAGCAGTGACACAGCAAAATAGCCAGCAGAGATGGAAGCCTTACATATACAGAAGTTGCAATAGAGATCACGTGTATAATGCCACAAGGTCAAGAAGAATTCCTTAAATAAGACGCCAAAACCAACAACTGAAAATGCAAGAATTAATACATTTGGCAATAGTAAAATTGGAACTTCTGTTCAACTAAAGATACGAAGAGAGTGAAAAGAAAATTACAATCCAAAAAAACCAACAAAAATGCATCAAAAATATATAATTAATGCCTGTCCATCGATAACACAGACATTCCAACAACAAAAAAATAAATGGGCAAAAGACATAAAAATTCCTTTTTCAAAGGCTACATGGATGTCCTATACACACAAGAAAAGATGTTGAATCTTAGTAGTAGTTAGAGAAACGGCAATCCACAATAACACTTCACACCCACCCAAATGGCCAAAAACAAAAATAGTTGAATGATACCAAGTGTTGGTGAGGATGTGGAGCAATGGAGCTCTCTCACTCAGTGCTGGTGGACGTGCAGATTGGCACCACCACCTTGGGAAACAATTTGGCACGGCTCAGTACAGCTGAAGGTGTGCGTGTGCTACCTATGTCCTGCAATTCCATTGAAAGGCATTATCTGGAGAAACTCTTGCACACGTACATGGGGAGATAAGTATAAGAATGTGGATGACAGCATTATTTGTAGCAGCAAAAAATTGTAAACAACTAAATGTCCTTTCCCAAGCAAATGGATACATTTTGCCATGTTCATGTGACAAAATACATACTATACAGATGAGAAACGTGGGAGCTACTGATGCCAAAACATAGTACTGAGTGAATAAAGCCAGAGGTAGGTGCTTGTGCATAGTAAAATACCATTTCTTTG